CTCCGGGGTGGTCCTAGTGTCAGAAACGAAACTTAAACCCAGGAACCCTGGACCACTGCAAGATCATGAACTTGGGCTTCAAGCCCCTGGAGACAAACTCTGGCTTTGCCACTGACACAAGCATGGGGCGATTCTTCACCTGTGTGAGCCTGTCTCCTTATGACGCAACCTGGTGAGGCGCTAGCCCCGTCAGGTGCTCAGGAACGGCATTCTTTTAAAACAGCAGCAACGCAGGAATCCAGCAGCGGAGAGGGCCAGTCTCGATTACTGGAGACCTATCACGTGTTCAGCACTTTGCAGGCACCCTTTACCTCATCGCGCCCGTGGGGTGGCTACAGCTATTAACCGCATTTCCAGGCGAGGAAAACCTAAGGTCTGTGAGTTGGGGGAGGCAGGGGTCGGTGTGGACTGGGACGGGGTGGAAGCGCTTTTTGGTCCCTGAGGACTAGAGGGGGCGGGGAGGGCCGCTATTCTGGGCCTGACCTGGCATGCCCTTAGGACATGCGCTCTCTGGGCCTCCGTCTTCCCAGGCCCCCAGGGCCCGCAGATGGCCCGCGGGCAGCACGCACCGGCGGCGTTAGGACCCCGAGGAGGCGAGAGGCCGCGGGGAGCCGAGCGCTGCCGACAGATCCGAGTTCGCGGCCGGTGGGCTCGGCGGCCGCTGCAGGTGAGGGCGGCGCCTGACGCCATGAACGCATGCCACCATCACGTGTCGGCCCTGGAGCGCAGGAGCCGTGGGGGTCCCTGGGGCGCGGGCGACAGCGTCCTGTACTTGTCCAGCCACTTTACCTCCAGCCGCCTGGGCAGCATCGCCAAGGACGCACGAGACGGGGGAACAGCCTGTGCAAAGGCCTGGTGGCAGGAGGGAGCGTGGTGAGCGCTGAAGCCAGACAGGTGGACGGGGGCCACCTGCAGGCCTCGAGGGTCCTCATGGGCCTTCTCCTGAGCGCCGCAGGGAGCCATTGGAGGACTGGGGCACGGCGATCACGACCCCACACTGGGTGTGTGGGTGGGGGAGGGGAGGAGGTTGTATTGGAGCCAAACAGTGTAAAGCGTGGAACAGGTTTCCCATGAGGGCTGTCTGTCCGGTCCCATCGCCAGAGGCAGGGGTGGGAGGGGCAGTCTGAGCGCCCACCTTGGGCACCATTGTCCCCGTGTGGATATGCTTTGTTGAAAACTGCGCTCCCCTCTCTGCGGGACTTTGAGACCTCCCCGAATCAAGCTAAGCCCATGTAACTCCCTGGCAGCCTGGAGCCCTGGGGAGCCTCTTGATGATGGCTGTGGAGGCCTGGGGAGGGGCCGCCCAGCTGAGGGGGATACAGAGCAAGCCTCCAGGCGGGCAGTGGCCACACCCACCCTGTGTCAGGCCCCAGTCCGCCGCCTCGCAGGACTGTGCATCCTTCTCCAAAGTTGAGGCCAGCCTGGCCCTGCACGGGTGAGCACTGCTCCCAGAAGCCTCTCCCTCCAGTCTGGGGTGCCAGACGGGGGCTCTGTACAGATCTAGGCTGGAGGATCTGGTCTTACCCAGGGTCTCGGATGCCTGCCCCAGGGCTGGCTGCTCCAGGCTTGGCCCACACAGTCCCAGCATCTGGCCAGGGCAGGTCCTGTGGCTGCCCCTGCCTTGCTGTTGGCCGGACTGGCGGGAGCTGAGGGGCCTGGACAAGAATGAACCGCCCCCCATCCCACCCCCTCCCCAGATACACACATCAGAGGGCAGGAAGCCTAAGGCTGTCTAGCCAGGCCTCCCTGCCTTAGGCCATCTCTACCCAGCAGCCGGCGGCCCCGGTCACCCCCAGCTCCCCATCACACTTCAAGTCCACACTCCTCACCCGGTCTCAGGGCTGTGGCCCTGCCCACCCCCACTAGCCTTCTGGAACGGGCTAACTCCGTCCCAGCTGTTCCCTCTGCCCGGAATGCCCGCGTTCCAGGCTGGATCCGTCATGTGCCAACTTCAGTGTCACCTTAGGGAGCCTTCCTGACCTTTCTTTCTAAAAGAGCGCCCCCCCACCCCCGGCCCTGTCCAGCCCCCCTGTGGAGTTTTCATCTGAGCACTGGGACTACTCGTCCTGTTGGTTTTACATCTAGGTATCTACTGTCTGAGGCCCTGACTGTGGACTCCGAGACTTGGTCCATTCCTGCATCCCCTGCCTGGGCTGCAGCAGGTGCTCGGTGACTGCTCGTCACGGGACCCTCATCCTTCCTCAACGGAGCTCTGCGTCACTTGGGGGTGTGCTGCCAGCTCTGTGCTAAGTGCTCTGTGTGCGTCACCCCAGGAGCCGCCACTCTCTGCTTCCTGGCCGTGGGGCAAGGACAGTCCCGTTCATAAGGCCGGCAGGATCAAGCTGGCGGAGGTGAGGCCTAGGAATGTGCATTCACAGGAGCCCCCTCTGCCCTCCCCCACTAAGAAACCAATTGCCTTTAGCACTTGGTCCGTGGGACGGACCTGGTGCCAGTCTTGGCTATCACTTTTGAGCTGCGTGACTCTAAGTGACTGTGCTGCTCTGAGCCTCCACTTCCTCACCTCTACAACGGGGATCAGTCCCCAGCTCAGGGGCGGCTTTGATGCGGGTGGAAGGCCACTCCGCACCTGCACGCCGTCCCCATCGTTCTCAAGAGCAGCTCCCTTCCCGTCCTGCTTGCTCCACGCTGCCCAGCCCACCCACTCCAGGGGAGGAGACCTCAGCGGCACATGGGCCCCCAACCCCAGCCCACACACACACACCCCCTCTCACTTTTCCTTCTTGTAAATTGACGTCAGCACTGCTGAATCATGAAGCTGAGGTTTCAGCAAGACTCAGCAGGGCCGGGGAAGCCACATGGTACACGTCGCCCCCCCAGCCCTCTTCCTCTGCAGGGGTGCCTGCACAACATCCCAGTGACACGGGCCTGGACTGCAGCTCCCGGGGGCTTTAGGTCACTTGAGGTCCCTCTACATGTGTTAGTAGAGACTCTTTGAAAATGACCCACGAAGGGAAGAAGGGGCCAGCTCTGGGGAGCGTGATCAGAGAGGCCTCTACTCTTAGCTGTTTTTGCTCCAGGTGTTATAGGGGGAACGGGTTTGTGGAATGAAGCTATGATTTTTGAACTTTTTTTAAAAAGGAGGAAAGAGCCCTGAAAATATTGTAAACTACCTGCTAATTCGTCCCTCTCTAGATGAGGCCGTTTCCTCATCTGTAAAATGGGGATATTAATAGCAGCTAAATCATAAGGTGAGGGTGAAGGCTGGATGTTTTAATATAGGTAACTAGGGGCCTGGGGTGGAGCCTGCACAATGACACTATATATAAACGTTAGCAGCTGCTGCTGTTATTATTATTGCAACCGTTAGGCCCTCTGGGGAGGCTGTGCTGCCTGGTGGCGCCCGGCCGCTGAAGCAGTCCTGTCTGAGTGAAAATCTGGCTCCCCCACCTCCTGTGTGCCCTGCTGTGCCTCTCTGAGCCTCAGTTTCCCCATCTGTAAAATGAGGGAGAGGTTTCCAACTCACAGGCTGGTTGCGAGCATTCAACAAGGCAGTGCAGGGCCCAGCATCCAGAAGGCACTCACTAAGTGTCTGGGATATGCCCAAGCTTCGCCTCCTGGGATTTCTTGTTTCTCCAGGCGCTGCCCAAGCTGGGTAGAGACAGGCCAAGTCAGAACAGGGACGGGACTGGAGCCACAGAGCGGAGAACAGAGGGCAGGGAGGTGGTTAAAAGAAAAAGCACACAGACGAGACGTCACCTCCGTCCCTCCCAGCCCACCTCATTAAAGGATGAAATTGCGGAAGCTCTCCCAGATCCTGAATCTCTCCTGGCCACCCTTACCCTTGAGGTCTGGCACCTGTTTAATCCCCAAGACAAGCCGCCCCAGCTCTCCAACTATCAAGTTAATTTTATGCTGCACTTTGGAAGCTGAGAGGTACCATTAAATATCAGGACACTCCACTATAAGCATGCCCAAGGCTGCAGAGGGCCATGCCCACTTCTCAAAGTAAAGTGCAACACGTCCGCCTACCCCTAAACCCGAGAATGACTCAATTCACTGAGGACGGCAGCACAGCCCTGAGCTGCCAGCCCGGCTTATGTGTCAGGCTGGCCACAGACACAGGAGTAGCCATAAAACCCGTGTCACGGGCCCTTTCTGGTGGTGCGGGCCAGCTCCAGGCGTCCTGGAGCAACTCCTCCCTCCCCTGGCTCTTGAAAACATCACCTCCTCCGTGATGCAGACACCTGCTGCGGAGGTTACAGCCACCGCCTCCTCCAGCAAGCCCACTTCAAGGGTAGACACTGGGCCCCAAGAGGCAAAGGGATTTGCCCAGAGCTGCTGGCAGGGGCCCCCGGCCTCCGCAGAGCCTTTCTGGCTCCAAGCTGTGTTCACCAAAAGTCCACGAAACAGAACAGTGGGGAGGGAAGTCAGGCCATCCCATCTCAAGTCTGCCTCCCTTGATGCTGAGGTTCACAATGTGCCACTCCTCCTTCCAAAAACTCACCAAGCCCCCCCTTCCTGGAAGTCGTTGTGCTCAGAGAATGAAAGAAGTTTCCTCTCTGTCATCCATTTCAAACAGATTCTGGGTGGACAGCCAAAAAAGGCCCAAGTATCTTTTGTGACACGGGAATAACCACAGGTCACTTTACCCCTGCCTCAGTTTTCTCTTCTGTAAAATGGGTGTTAAGAGCCTTGCTTCCTAGGGTCAGACTCTAGGATTAAGCAAATTTAAGCACATAACAACACAGAATCGGGCCTGGCACACATTAAGTGCTCCAACGTGAGCTGCCTTTACTGGACACAAAATACCAAAACTAGGCCAAGGTCCCCTCCGGGCACTGAGAACTGTGGGTGGCACCACACAGGGCTCCCAGCCACAGAACACCTCCAGCAGACAGGGCAGCCTTAGGACCCCTCTCCCCTGGACCTGTTCAGAAGCAAGGAAAACCTTTGACCAAAGCACACGCTCTAGAAACCTTGTTTCTTAAAAAAAAAAAACTTTCATAATAAAGTTTATTACCTAAACTGGTTGTAAAAAATATAAAATAGGATTCTGCACAGCAGAAAAATAAAGCCAGAGACCCTCCCCCAACCCCTGGTTTGTGCAAAGAGACTGGGTATATGTAAACATGAAGAGGTAGGAGGTACGAGTTCAGGTCCCGGCCACAAACACAGTTAAGTTAAGCTGCTACAACAACCAGCGGGACCCAGAGGGAGCACCAGGAGCGGGGCGCCCTCCCAGAGGTGGGGAGGGGCAGGCGCCTCGCCCCCAACACCGGCTCCCTCCAACCCAGGCGGGGAGGGCCCCCACGTGGTTCCAGGAAAATAATAATTAATAATAAGAAATAATAACCAGGCGCCCCAGTTAATGCTGCGTGCGCGGCCGTCAGATCTGGAAGGGGAAGGAGCTCAAGTAGTCGCGGAGGACGGGGTTGAGGGGGATGCGCGCCAGGTTCTCGCGGCCCACGGTGGCCACGATGCGCTGGCGACACAGCTCCTGCAGCGGCCGCACGCGGCGCTGGCGCAGCGGGGCCCCGAGCATGCGGCGCGGCGCCGCCACGTAGTGCTCGAGCAGCTCGAAGAGGCAGTCGAAGCTCTCGCGGCTGCCGTCCAGGTGGAAGCGGCCGGCCTGGAAGTGCACGCGGATGCTCGTGGGGCCCGAGGCCATCTTCACGCTGAGGGCGAAGAAGCAGTTCCGCTGGCGGCTGTCGCGCACCAGGAAGGTGCCCACCGGCTCGGCGCGCAGCCGCTCGTGCGCCCCGTGCACGCTCAGGGGCCCCCAGTAGAAGCCGCAGGCGTCGAGGAGCGCGCTGGCGCGGGTGATGCGCCGGTACTCGGCGTGCGAGCGGAACGTGCGGAAGTGCGTCTCGCCCGGGGCCGGCGCCGGGGCCGGGGCCGGGGCCGCCGGGCAGGCCCGCGCGCGCGCCGGGGCCGCGGGCGCCGAGGAGGAAGAAGAGGAGGAGGAGGAAGAGGAGTTGGAGGAAGGCTCTGGCCGCCGTCGGGGCTCTGCTGCCGTGGAGATTGCATTGTCGGCTGCCACCTGGTTGTGTGCTACCATCCTACACGCGGGGCCAGCCGGAGGGGTGGGCCATAGCGTCCGGGGGTGCGCTGATGGGAAGACAGAGGCAGTGAGCGCAGGGGCCGGGTGGGGCCGGGCAGGTGAGGGGCCGCGAGGCAACTTGGAGGGGTGGGGCTCCAGGCTGAGCCGACCCGAAAGTGCCGAGGGCGGAGGACCAAGTCGGCGCGGCCCCTTGGAGCCTCAGTGGACGCATCTAGAAAATGGGCTTCCCCGTCCGCAGAGCGTTTCCAGGCGGGTGCGGACTCGGTGGGGGAGGAGTCCAGCCTCCGGGGCGCTCGGAGTTTGGGTAAGAGAGGGGGGCGTGGAGAGAGGTGCCAGAAGAAGCTGCCTGCCCCGACTCCGGCCACCTGGCCCTCGGCTCGCCGCCCCGCGGCCGCCGCCTGCTGGCCACTCCGGGGATGGGCGCCTCGGCCGGGCGATTTGGGCAAAGGCAGGAGAAAGCTGCGCTGCGGGAACCCCGCGCGCGGGGGGCTGCCAGGGTGGGGCCGGGGGGAGCCAGGGGCGCGGCGGCCCCGCGCCCACCACGCAGCCCCCGAGGCCGCCCGACAGCCGCTGTGCTTTCCTTTCCCTGCCTCCCCTCTCCCTCCCGCTTCCTTGCCCGGTGCCTGGCTCACCTGGCGGCGGGGCGCGGGGCCGCAGGCGGGGCGGCGGGGGGCTCCGGGGCGGCTCTCGCGCATGCTCCGGGGCCGGGAGCCGTGCAGCAGCCACGGCCGCAGCTCGCTCTGCTCGCGCCCGCCCCTGCGCCGGGCTTTTAAACCAGCGTGGGAGGGGGCGGCTCGCCCCGCCGGCCCCGCCCCCTGCAGGTCCGCCCTCCCACGCCACTTTCGGTTTCCTTTTCAGCCCAGGCGCGGGCGCGCGCCGGGGGCCCCGCGAGCTCCACCTTTTGCAAACACCGGGGGACCCGCTTCGCGGAAGCCCCCTACCCTGACCTAGCCTGCACGTGTCCTACGACCTCTCCATCGAGGTCTCTGGCCCCGCCCCTGAACCCCCGGGCCACTTTCGGACGCCGCCTTCGGACCTGAAGCCCCTGCTTTTGCGCCCATGACCCTCGGTCGCAGATTTCTGCAGCCGAGCCCTTAGGATCCTCTGGACTGGCCCCGACACACCCCTCTCCCCCGCCGGCTGTCTCAGCACCCATCTCGGGCAGTTCTCTGCCCTCCACTCCCCTCGAGCCAGACCTCTCCACCCCACCCTGGGGTCCGGCCTGAAGGTCCGGGCCTCGGACCCCTCGCGCTGCCTCCGGAGTCCCGGAGCCTCGGGCGGCCGCCCCCGCACCCCTCCCAGCCGGTCGGCGTCCCTGGTCTCGGCTTAGGCTTCCCAGGAAGCGGCAGCCTGACCGCAGGCTTCGGAGGAAGCCTTCAGCGGCGCGAAGGGCGCCTCGACTGCGGGCCGGCAGAGTTCCTCGGAAACCGGGCGGGACCGGCGCGGACCCCTGCGGCCTTGGCTTCCCTCCCTACTAGGCGACTGCTGGAGAAATTGAGACCGGGAGGGGCTGTGATTCACAGTGACCTGCAGACGGGGAGCTCTGGACGAGGCACGTCCTCTTCGCTTTTGTTTTGGGGGAGAGGAGCAGCTGGGCACCTCCAGACGCGCTTTGGAGCCCAATGAAAAGATGGTTCATTTTCACATGTGATGATTCCACCCTGCTTTGAGTTTTCCCGGCCAGCCCTCCTCTTCTCCCGCCTCTACCTGACAGATCCCCCTCCCGCCGCTCAGTCAAGCATCTGCTCCCAGCCCGCCTCACTCCTCGGGCTTGGGATGATGGGGGCTTACTCTAATTTGTACATTTGTGTGTGTGATCCAGTGGTCCTGGGTCGTGGAAAGGCACGGAGTAGGTGCCTGGCTGGCACGTATTTTTGAAGGAGAGAAAGAACAAACGGGTTGGAGCTGGTGTGGGTACTGTCTCAGGGTCACACAGAAGACAGGCCAGGCTGGGGCACGGTGACTGGCCTCCCACTGGCGCGCACTGCCCTCTACAGGCAGCTCTCAGGCTGCAGCCCAGCCAGCTCGTCTCGACGGAGCCTTGGGCGCCTTTCTGGCCCTTTCCTTCCCTGGCCCCAGGCAGTGCCCAGGCCCCCTGTGTTTCCTCCTAAACAGAAGGGGGTGGCCCAGAACCGGCCTTGCTTAGGACTCCACCGGCTCCCTGAATCGATGTCGGCAGCGGCTGATGTTGGTCATTGATGCGGTTATCCTGGGTCTTGCACGCACTGTCCAAGGCAATGACAGATGCAGAGCCGTGCATGTGCCAGTGTTCAGGTGCTGTGGTCACTCCAGAGCACCTGCTGGGGCCGCGCCTGTGGTGGGTGCTGAATGGGATATAAAGTAGTGGTTAAAAGCCCCACTTTCGACCCAGACTACCTGGATTCCAGTTCCAACTCTGCAGCTTTCTAGCTTTGTGACCTTGGGCATAAATTAACCCCTCTGCCTTGGTTTCTTCTGGGAGACATATAAGAATAGCACCTCCTTCGTAGCGCAGGGATTAACTGAGTGACTATGGGTCAGGTGCCCAGAACAGCCTCTGGTGTATAATAAGCATTCAGTAGGTGTCTGCTGTTGCTGTTGTTCATTCAAGGGTGCCTGTGGCCGTGGCAGTGAGTTGAAGCCTGTAGACACGTGGCTTCGTCCTTTGGGCCCACTTTAGAAGCCCTAGCCCAAGGAGCACAGGCCAGAGAAGGCTCTGGCGGAGTAGAAGGAGGGGAGTTTCTTGGGGTGAACCAGGCCCCTGGGTGCCAGCATTGTGTGGGGGGAGCACCTCCTTCGCACTTGAGCTGAGGCGGTGGTCCCACCCAGAGAAGGCGGCCAGGCTGGGCTGACTCCTGCATGACTTGTCTTCCTGCCCTCGTGTCTCCTGGGCAGGCTCTGGGCAGAGGGAACCTATAAAGAGCTGCTGGCCAACATGTCCCCCAGCCCCTGTTGACAGCCTCGATGGCTACTTGGGAGAGCTGCCCCTTTTCCCCAGGGACTGGGGCCTCTCTCGGCCCCCCTCTTGCTGCCACACTCCCACCCATGCCCGCGGAGCCCCCTCCTTCGTTTCGTTTACTGGTACCTGTGACACATTGGCCTAAGCTGTGTGCTCAATCCTTTACAGTCCTTACACCGTTGGAGTGGCACAACAGTCCAGTCTGCCCATTTTACAAATAGGGAAACTGAGGCTCAGAGGGAGAGTCACTTGCCCAGGGGCACACAGCTCAGAGCTGAGACCACACCCAGGGCATCAGACCCCAAAGCTTTCACCCTTGCCCACCGTGCTGTAACCTCCCCCTCCCCCGGCACCATTCCTGGTGGTCTAGCACCCTCATCTATTTTCTGGAAAAACAGTAGATGCTGAAGAAATCAAAGTGCCCCGTGTGTATCCTGAGCCTGCCTGGGAGGAGTGGGGACTGGTCTGCCGGCTTCCCTCTCCTTTATGAGCTTCAGGAGGCTCCCGGTCTTGGCCTCCAAGCCTCCGTCTCGCCCTTGGTGGCTTTGGGCCCTTCCCAGTCTCAGATTCCTGGCCTGCATGGTGGCCTGGCCCCCCCTGACGGGACCCTGCTTGTGAAAACTGGTGAGTCAGGCACCAGTCACCGAGCACACATGTGTTTTCCTCACTGCTGACAGCCACGGTTGCTATGGCTTTGGTTTCATTTTCTGAAGTCCTGAGTTCAAAACGAAACCAAATCCAGATGCCAGACGGGAAGAAGAAATAAGCTGACTGACAGGCATCTCCTCCTTGACTGCTCTCCGGGAGGACCGGGGCTGGGTGCCAGGCAGCGGGGGAGCCCTGAGGGGCTGCCTTCAGACTCCAGGCCTGCTGCTTCCCAGCTGTGTGACCTCAGGCAAGCCACTCGCCCACTCTGGGCCTCATTTGTCCCATCTGCGAAATGAGTTCTGGAGGTTTTGTGCCTCACAGAGCAGCAGTGCACGCAAAGCCCTGAAGCCGAGTGCCAGGCACAGAGAAGTGCTCAGCACGAGTGGCTTCCCGTCACAGGCCAGTTGGGACAGCCCTGTGTCCACAGCATGCTGGACCACAGTCAGACATGCAGAATGGTTCCCCAGAAGTGTGGGGCCCAGCCAGCAGTGGGGGGAGGTCGAGATCCTGGCCCAGAGAACTCAATTGTTCAGTTTCTTATTCCAGCTTTGGCAAGGTCCTGCTGGGAACAGCAGCCCCTGGACGGCATGTAATCCTGAAACTGCCCTCTGCCCCAGTCCTAGCGTGCCTTTTCCTCTAACTCATGAGGCAGCCGAGGTTCCCACAGGAGTCTGTGCCTCCCTGAGCTGCGGGGCTCAGAGCGTCCGTTCTGCTGTCAGCCGGCCTGGGTTTAAATCTGTCACTGAATCAGCGTGTGGCCTGGGCAAGCTTCTGAGCTCTCTGTGCCTCAGTTTCCTCATCTGTAAGATGGGGTAATAACATATCTCTTTCGCTCCTTCAGTATTTATTCAGCAAGTATTTATTGAGCGCCTGCTGTCTGCCATCACTGGGGATTCAGGGGTCTTCAAGCAGACAGGCAGTGAATTCACATGATCGGTTCAGATCGTGGTAGGAGCTATGGGGGAAATGAACAGGGAGGAAGGGAGCGATGAACTGTTTGTGGGGTGGGGGAGGCGTGAGATGAGGCAGTCAGGGAAAGCCTTTTGGAGGTGGTGATGGCAGAGTTGAGGTTTTTCTAGAAGCAGGATGAGGAGGACTGTGGGTGGGGAGAACAGCCAGTGCAAAGGCCCAGTGTTGGGAGTGATGGGCACGTAGGAGGATCGGAAAGGAGACGTGTGTAGGTGGTGTAGGGAGCGAGGGAGTGAGTGCAGGGTGAGGCACAGGGGTGGGCAGGGGACGATCAGACGATCCACGGGGCAGAGCCTTGTTGGGAGGTGGGAGGGGTTTGGATTTCGCCCTGACTGCAGGAGACAGCCCTTAAAGCCCAGGAGACACTGTGGGATTGGGTGTGGAAAGAGCCCTCTGGCTGCTGACCTTCCGGGCCGCTGGGGCTTTAGCCACAATGACCCACAGTAGAGGCCTTGGGACACACCTCATGTCTATCCCTGACCCTCCGGGGGTCACCACACTGGCCCTGAAGTGGGTGCCAGCACAGTCCTAAGGGCAAGCCGGGACCTTCGTGCTTTGTAGGAGAGAGTGCTGCTCAGGGAGTCCACGGCCTGAGTTCTGGGCTCAGCCCTCATTCCCGGCGGAGACCTGGGAAAGGAACCGCTGTCTGCTGAGCCCCTGCCCTGGGCCAGGTGGCAACTCTTTGGTCTCTTGTCGTATTTACTCGTTCCTGCGGTGGTGAGGTGCAAGTTTTGTGTCGCCGTTCACCAGATGAGAAAAACTCTGCTCAGGGAGTTGGGGGACTCGGTGAAGGTGATTTGGGGGCCCTGGGGCTCGGCCCGAGCCTGCTTGGTGAGGTTGCTTTGCTGTGGGGATGGAACCTGGTCTGGGCCCAGCCCGTCCCAACAGCAGGAAAGATGGTGTGTTTCAGTGGGGGAAAGGGGTGTGCAGCCGGTGACACTCCAGTCCAAGGAGAAGGTCCTCTCGGCCAGGGAGCGATGGCAGGAGCCGGTGGCTGGACTCCAGAGTGGTGACAGACTGGCTCCCGGGCCGTCCTCGGAAGACTCTATGAGAACCTTCCAGCAGACCCGTCATCCCCGTGTGACACAGGAAGGAAGGAGAGATCAGGTGGGAGATTCTGTGAAGTGTTGACCAGTTTTCAGAAAACACTCGCCATTGTTGTGCTAATAGCACCAAAACAGGAG